TTTGAGTCCGTTGTTGCAGCCCCCGTGTCAGTCCATCTCACGGAGGGCTTCCTCGTTTTTGTTGGCGCTCTGCTTGGCCAAACGTGATGTCCTTTTCTGAGCCTTCAATACCTGCTGGCTATTTCTCTGTCGTTCTCACGAATGCAACGATTTCCCCACGGCCCCCTAACTGTCCAGGAAGAACCTTGCCATCCTGGCGGCTCTGTGCCATTCATGGGCCCCTTCCACCATAAAAAAATATTAAAAATGGTATTTTATGACTGCGTTGGTATCAAGACGAATATGATAACATTAGGTATTAAAACATTTTCTTCGACCCACGAGGTTTTTTTCCTGATTTTAAAAGAAATGAAAAGATTTTTGGTGTCCCCGAAAAGTACTTGAGTTCGAGGCACTGTACCTCCTGGGCCTGATGGGGTGATTGGCCACCCGGACCCCAGGCCGACAGCCCCGCGGCTCTGGGTCCCCGGCCCACAGGCCATCCGCCTCAGTCCTGTTTGTCTTTCCCGTGTGGGCGTTTCCCAGGCTGGAGCTCGGCCGCTGCTAGAGGCCTTGCAGCGTCTACTTTTGTTGTTGTTTATTAAAAGGCTGCTCGGGGGAGAAGCCTAATCCTGTATTATCTGGAAATAGAAAGCGCCGTGCAGATGTTAATCCAGTGTAGTAACAGCGAAGCCGAGTAATCTGTCTTGAACATGGTGAACTTGTTAAATCAGACAGATGCCATCTGCACTGTTTAAAGCCCGGGCTGGCAAGAGGTTTTATGCAAAAATGCTTCTCGTAGGAAAATTGCTGAATCCCAAAAAAGTAAAGTGCTCTGCTCTGAAGTTGGCCTTATGATGCTTCCTCTTGGGAACGGGGTGACCGCTGGAAGTAGGGAACAAAAGTATATCAAGCATTTATTGAGCACCTACTATATACTGGGAGTTCTTGGGTGCTGCCCATGGTTAACGTGCTCTGTTGCTAACCAAAAGGATGGAGGTTCGAGTCCACTCAGAGGTGCCTCGGAAGAAAGGCCTGGTGCTCTACTTCCGAAAAACCAGCCATTGAAAACTCTATGGAGCACAGTTGTACTGATACGTGTGGGGCCACCAAGAGTCAGAGATGACTCAATGGCAACTGGATTTTTTATTTACTATGTGCTGAGCCCTTTACATATGGCCTGATGTCTGATAGTTGTTGTTGGTGTTAGTTGCCATCAAGTCGATTCCGACTCATAGCGACCCCGTGTACAGCAGAAGGAAACACTGCCCGGTCCTGCGCCATCCTCACAATCGTTGTTATGCTTGAGCCCATCATTGCAGCCACTGTGACAATCCATCTCATTGAGGGTCTTCCTCTTTTTTGCTGACCCTCTACTTTACCAAGCATGATGTCCTTCTCTAGGGACTGATCCCTCCTGACAACATGTCCAAAGTATTTGAGACAAAGTCTCACTATCCTTGTTTCTAAGAAGCATTCTGGCTGTACTTCTTCCAAGACAGATTTGTTCGTTCTTTTGTCCGTCCATGGTATATTCAATATTCTTTGCCAGCACCATAACTCAAAAGCGTCAATTCTTCTGTCTTCCTTATTCATTGTCTAGCTTTCATATGCATATGAGGTGATTGGAAACAACATGGCTTGGGCCAGGAGCACCTTAGTCCTCAAGGTGACATCTTTGCTTAACACTTTAAAGAGGTCTTTTGCAGCAGATTTGCCCAATGCAATGCGTCATTTGATTTCTTGACTTCTGATTCCATGTGTATTGATTGTGGATCCAAGTACCATGGAATCCTTGACAACTTCAGTCTTTTCTCTGTTTATCATGATGTTGCTTATAGATCCAGTGGTATTTTTGTTTTCTTTATGTTGAGGTGTAATTCATACTGAAGGCTAATACTTCATATCATGTCCGATCCTCCCAGTAATTCTGTAGTTGAGATTATTCAGAATTTTATAGGTGCTGACACCTGCGTTCAGAGAGGTTGGGTAACTTGCCCATATAGCTGCCAAGTGGAGGCAGGATTTGAATCCAGGACTGTCTGACTCAAAGGCCCTCAACTCTTTCCACTATGTCTCTGAATAAGGTACAGATTCACTAACCAGAGCTTGACAGTCGAGAATGTCCCTAGTTGTTCTTTATCTCCAGGAGAGCAGCCATGGAATTCAGCTTGGACTTTAGCTTCTGGTGGTTTCTAGCAATCCTTGGCTTGTGGCTGCATCACTCCAATCTCTATCTCTGTCTTCACTTGGCCATCTCCCTTGTATGTCTGTGTCTTCACATGGCCTTCTTATAAGGACACTCGGTCATTGGATCAGGGCTCACCCTACTCCAGTGTGACCTCATCTTGACTTAATGACATCTGCAAAGACCTTATTTTGGGTTCAAGACAAAACCCTCCTGACAGCAGGGGTGGCCAGTAGATCCGGGACTCTCCCTCTGTGACGCCTTAAAAACCGTTTCCCCTCAGGTCTGCGGATGGCGATTGTATGAGCTTCCTAGGGCTGCATAGTGAAGTATGCAGGAGCCCCGGTGGCACAGTGGTTAAAGCGCTCAGCTGCTAACCAAAAGGTTGGGGGTTCAAATCCACCAGCCTCTCCAGGGGAGAAAGATTTAGCAGACTTCTTCCGTAAAGATTTATAGCCTTGGAAACTCTATGGGGTAGTTCTACTCTGCCCTATTGGGTCGCTATGAGTTAGAATCGACTCGACGGCAGTGGGTTTGTGTGTGGGTTTTTTTTTTTTTGGCACAAGAAAATGCTGCAACTGGGCAACGAGATGACTTCACGCAGCAGAAATGTGTCCTCTCATAGCTCTGGAGGCGAGGAATCTGAAATCAAGGTGTCAGCCCTGCCATGCTCTCTCCAAAGGCTCTGGGGAAGATCCTTCCTTGTCTCTTCCAGCTTTTGGTGGTTCCTGGCATTCCTTGGTGTCCCTTGGCTTGGAGTCCATTCTGACTCATGAGGACCCCACGTGTGTCAGAGTAGAACTGTCCTCTATCGGGTTTTCAGTGGCTGATTTTTTGGAAGTAGATAGCCAGGCCTTTCTTCTGAGGCACCTCTGGGTGGACTCAAATTACCAACCTTTCAGTTAGCAGCTGAGCACATTAACTATTTGCACTATCCAGGGCATCCTTGTAACCTCATAGAAGGCTGTTATGGGTTGAACTGTGTCCCCCTCAAAGGATGGTTGAAGTCCTAACTCCCAGTACCTGTGAATGTGACCTTGTTTAGAAATAGGGTCTTTGCAGATGTAATGAAGTTAAGATGAGGTCACACTGGAGTAGGGTGGGCCCTGATCCAATGACCAAGTGTCCTTATAAGAAGGCCATGTGAAGACGTAGACACACAGACATACAGGACAGACAGCCAAGTGAAGACGGAGACAGAGATTAGAATGATGCAGCCACAAGCCAAGGATTGCTGGAAACCACCAGAAGCTGGGAGGGAGGCGTTGAACAGATCCTCCCTGAGAGCCTCCAGAAGAAACCAACCCTGCCAACACCTTGATTTTGGACCCTCTGAACTGTAAGAGGAGTCCTGGTGGCTCAGTGGTTAAGAGCTGGGCTGCTAACCAAAAGGTAGGTGGTTCAAATCCATCAGCCGCCTGTTGGAAACCCTGTGTGGGCAGTTCTACTCTGTCCTATAGGGTCGGAATCGACTCCACGGCAATGGGTTTGTTTTCTTCTTTTTTTGAACTGTAAGAGAATAAGGATCTGCTGTTTTAAGCCACCACATTTATGGTCCTTTGTCACAGCAGCCCCAGGGATGCACACAGAGGCCATGCCGTTTTTCTTTAGGGTGTTCCTTTTTGCCAAAGTTGGCATCAGGGCACCAAACTAAAGAGCGAGAGGATTGGCTGGAATGTGTGTGTGCATGCGTGTGTGTGCATGTGTATGCGTGTGCACATCCACGTGTGTACATGTGCACGTTATTATGTGTGTGCGCACGTGTGCCTGTATTGTCTCCTCCTTCCTTTTGTTCCTCATTCCCCGCCTCTGTGTCTGCCTTGCCCCTGCCCTGTCTGTCTCCCCCACTAGTCAGCTTCCTCATGGACGGGGCCTTTCTCTCCTTACGGAAAGTGGAGGTGGGAGGGAGAAGGTAGGCAGCGGCTGCAGATCCCACCGCTCTCCCCACTGAGCCCTCTGGTGGGCAGGCTGTGCAGCCCAGAAGGAGAGGGAAGGTGGGGTGTGCAGACCCCAGAGGAGGAGCCCCAACTAGGAAAACCCTTCCTCGTATCATTCCCATCATGCGAAGCTGTAAAGACCTCATGCCTTGTAAAGGGGTAAATGGGGCTTAAACTGAGCCTGCAAAGCTGGAGGTGAGAATCAAAGCAAATGAAATGAATGTATTAAAAAAGTAGGCAACATCTGGCAGGGAGGCCCCCCGGGCCAACCCCTCGCCTGGACGATATGCCAGCGGAGTGGGCTCCATCTCAATAGACATTCTTACCACGAGATAAAATAGTGCCCATGGTGTCTAAGAAACTGTGCCCTGCCAGTTGAATCGTAGTCAACACGTGGACATAAATTCTCAAAAAATAAAGGCAGCCGCGGTGTTGATGATGGGCGGAGGGCTATGCTGTTTGTGGTAGTAAACTGGCCTAAGACCCTGGGGCGCACTCATTCTCAGGGACCCAGCAGTCATTGCTGGAGTTTTAATAGTCGGCAGGTCCCCTGGCTGCTGTGGGTGGAATTTATCTTGGCCTGATACAGCCCCCTTGGGATGCCATGGACAGACAGACTCAGGGCAGCCTGCTGGTGCCTGGGGTCCCTGGACAGCCCCTGCCCGGGCTCTTGGGTGGGAGTCCCCTGCCTGCTTCAGCCCCAGACACTTGCTGGCCTGCTGCGGGTGGGTGACAGTCCTCGCACGCATAAATGTGGTGCTCACATGTGGGGGACATGTGTGCGGTGGATGGGGCTGGACACACAGCTCCGTGTCCTCTGCCCGGCCCATCGCGTGGCTCTCGGGGAAGGCATCCAGGCAGTGTTCAGCGGCCCACCTCTGCCCTCTCCCGCTTAGGTCTGCCCCCAGCGCTGGCCTCATGGAGCAGATCCAGGCCATCGCCCAGAACGTGTCTGACATAGCGGTGAGGGTGGGGGGGGTCCTGCGCCCGGTCCTGCTCCTGCGCAGCAAGGGTGGGTGCTGGTGGGGGGGGGGGTGGGGCCGGTCCAACGCCCACCCCTCACCCACCCATGCTCCCCCACCCCTCTATCCCCCGCATGCGTGCACATGGGTTAAGCCTCTGGAAGGTTGGGGCACACCTGGCGTGGAGCCCTGCTCTCTCCCCTGGCAGAGGTGTTCCTGCCCTCCCCACAGCAGCCCACCTGGCCTCGGAGCCCCACTTCAGGCTGTCTGCAGGGTGACTCAGGCTTCACCCCCCTGACCTGGTGTTAGGGTGCTGAGGACAGAGTTGGTCCCTGAGGTCTCGGCCACCCAGGGAGGGGCCCTCCGACTGCCCCGCCATTCCCCTTGATGTGGGGAGTAGCGGGCCAGGCTGCAAGCCCTATCTCTGCCCCCACAGAAGTATTTAGGGGTACGTCTGGGTGGGTGTGTGAAGTCTGTCTGTCCAGGGAACCAGTCCACAGCTGGTCAAGGCAGCTCTTCCCTGGTTCTGAACCCCCTAAGAAGGATGGGGAGCAGGGGGGGCTCTGCCTGCATGGTTTGGAAGAGGGGGACACCTAGGCCTGGGTCACCCTGACAGGTAGACTGTGTACCTAGTGGCCTCTCAGGTGAGAAACCTCAGGCCCTGCCCAGTCCCCCCCGACCCTGACCGCCCGCCCCTCACCACGGTGTCCCTTGGGGAACTTCCGGGACCCAGGTCCTCAGCAAGCTGCATTCTCCCACAGTGTCTGAAGTCCGGCGGGACCAGTGCGAGGCACCCAGTGACCCCCGGTTCCCTGATTGCTCAGGGAAGGTGGAGGTGAGCCTGGGGCGTGGGGTGGGCCGGAGGGCATGAAGGGGGTCCAGGAGGGGCTGCCCCCTCTGCTGGGGCCATGGCTCCGGACCATCTTGGGGGTTTCTGCCCCTGGCAGGGACATCACAAGGCCAGAGCCTCCTGCCCGGCCTGGACCCTGGCGCTGGCACAGGGAGATGGCTCCTGCCACAGCCCCACCACGTTCTCCAGGATGTCGTCTGTCAGGGCATCTCATTACTTTCTCTCAACAAATGAACTATTAGGTATAGGTGATTCCCACCCAGTTCAGAAAAGGCCTGGCCCCTCATCCCTGCCCCATTTCTCCTGGCCTGGGAAGGCCCTCTGACCTCTCTGCTCATGTCTGCAGGCAGCTCCTCCTCAGTGGCCACTTGGCGATCATTGCGGGTGGGTTCTGCCCTGGCCCCAGGCCCTGCCCCCTGGGGGGCCGCCTCCCGACCTTGGCCTTGAGCTGAATCCTGGGTAATAGGTGGTGGGGACAGAGGAGGAGGGAGACTGAGCCAGGACGCATGCTGTGGCACCTCCCGGCCCTTTGCCCCACAACTTTGCCCTGGAGAGCCCTAAAATAAACGAGTTGCCGTTGAGTTGACTCCGACTCACGGTGACCCTGTGTGTCTCAGAGCAGAACTGTGCTCCATAGGGTTTTCAGTGGCTGATTTTTTAGAAGTAGATCACCAGGCCTTTCTTCTGAGGTGCCTCTGGGCGGATTTGAACCTCCAACCTTTTGGTTAGCAGCCCAGTGCTTTAGCCGTTTGTGTATCTCGTTCCCCAAGGGACCCCTCTTTCTGGGCCGGGCAGTGGTGGTCCTGCTCCTGCGTTCTCTGGGGTCCTCAGGGGCCAGGGCAGAGGGCTAGGTCCTGGGGGCTCAGTCTCTCTGCTCTGTCCCTTGCAGCATCTTCAGGGAGGGCCCCAGAGGTCCCATTCTGGGGGGAGCAGGTGGAGGGGACGAGGGTCTGGGGGGCCGGCGCCAGCTCCCTGCCCAGCCTGCTCTCTCTGCAGTGGATGCGGGCCCGCTGGACCTCTGACCCCTGCTACGCCTTCTTCGGGGTGGATGGCACCGAGTGCTCCTTCCTCATCTACCTCAGTGAGGTTGAGTGGTTTTGTCCCCCGCTGCCCTGGAGGAACCAGACGGCTGCCCAGACTGCCCCCAAAGCCCTCCCCAAAGTCCAGGTAGGTGAGGGGGGAGCTGTGGATGGGTCAGGGGCTACCTGGGTCAGGGTGAAATGGGAGGAAGCCTGGGAGGGACGAGGCAGTTCTCAGGTGGGAGTGCAGAGGTAGGTCCCAGGCTGCCCTGTGGACGGAAGCCAGCAGCTGACCGTGTCCGTCCCACCTTCTGTGGGATGCTGCGGTGAGAGGCTGTGTGAGGGGTAGTGGGGCCCTGGAGGCGCGCCCTTAACGGACTCCAATAATAGTAACAACAATAGCTGCCACTTATTGAGGCTTTCTGTGTGCCGACACCTTCCTTGCGCTTAAGTCTCCCGGGAGTCCTGTGTGAGCTCACTGAGCAGGTGATGAAGCTGAGGCTCGGAGAGCTAGCTTGTTCAAGGCAGACAGTCCCGGTGGCTCGGCTGAAAGGCAGCTCACCCCCTGCTGCCGGAGCCTGGGCTCTAACCACTACTCTCACTGGCTCTTGGTGCTGCTTGGGGTCCCTGAGATCTGCCATAACTGACCCATCTCCCCAGAGGGCTCAGTACAGGCAGATAATCGGAGCTGGGTTTGGCTGGTGTATGGGTATTGGGGGGGTGGTAGGTGGCTCCTTGACTTTGGAGTGGATGAGCCCCTTAGAAAGTGTGGGCGACGTTAGAGCAGGCCCCAGCACCGTGAACCAGTTGCTGTTGAGTTGACTCTGACACATGTGATAGAGTAGAGCTGCTCTCCACAGGGTTTTCAAGGGCTACTTTTTCAGAAGTAGATCACCAGGACTTTCTTCCAAGGCACCTCTGGGTAAACTCAAACTTCCAAACTTTTGGTTAGCAGCCAAGCACGCTAACTTTTTGCACCACCCAGAGACTCCCTGGCCTCTTGGGGAAGGTGCACAGAGGCCCACTAGCCCTGCCCCTGGGCCTGTGGGGGATGGATGGTGGCCAGCGGTGGGCCTGGAGCTATGAGACCTGAGGCACTGGACTTCCCCCCAGGCAGTTTTCCGGAGCAACCTGTCCCACCTCCTGGAGCTGGTGGGCAGCGGGAAGGAGTCACTCATCTTCATGAAGAAGCGGGCCAAGCGGCTCACCACCCAGTGGGCCCTGGCCGCCCAGCGCCTGGAGCGGAAGCTGGGAGGCGCCCGGAGAGACCAGAAGCAGGTACCGCCTTCCTCTCCACACGCTCAGGGAGCTGAGCTCCGAGAGCTCAGGAGACACACTTGGCCATGGCTCCACGGGCATGTGCAGGAATGTGGGGTGGGGCAGCTGGAGTCGGGAGGGATGAGTGGGGTGCTTCTCAAAGTTGGGGCAGAGTGGCAGCCGCTTCCCCTGATGCTCTGTGTTCTGTAGACATCTGTTCTTGTCAGACAGAAACGTTGGGAATCTATGTAGCCCGCTTTGGGAAGGTGCCTTGGTCCGTTCATTCATTCATTTTTCATTCATATGATACATAGTTACATAACCCTCTCACCCCCCCCCCCCCCGTTTGTTTCTTTCAGAGCTCCTATCATTTCATGAGCTTATCTTGTGTCTGTGTTAACTGTTGTCTGCCTCTTCCATCTGGAATGTAAGCACCATGGGGACAGGGCTGGGACTGCCTGTATGCTGGGTGCCCGGCACTGTCTCTCTGTCCTTGGGCCCCTGACTGCGCTGTCATGCCAGCCTGGAGGCAGAGTCTGCAGCAGGGGTCTCCCGGCCAGGCCTGGGGTGGCAGCCGAGTGCTGCTGCTCCTCCACGCTGACCCTCTGTGTCACTGCCCAGATCCTCGTCCACATTGGCTTCCTGACAGAGGAGTCCGGGGATGTGTTCAGCCCGCGGGTGCTGAAGGGCGGGCCCCTGGGAGAGATGGTGCAGTGGGCGGACATCCTGACGGCGCTCTATGTCCTGGGCCATGGTCTGCGCATCACCGTCTCCCTGAAGGAGCTGCAGAGGTGAGCGCCAGGGAGAGGTGCACGCTGAGGGGCTGGGGCGCGATCCCCTGGAGCGCCTCTCCTGCGGGACCCTGACCCGCCATCCCTGGAGGCTTTCTTTGATGTTTCCTAGTTTCCTCCTCATAGCGACCCTATAGGACAGAGTAGAGCTGCCCTATAGGGTTTCCAAGGCTGTAATCTTTACGGGAGCAGATTGCCAGCGCTTGGTGGGTTTGAACTGCTGACCTTTCAGTTAGCAGCTGAGTGCTTAACCACTGTGCCACCGGGGCTCTTTGTAGTGTTGCTTTGAGTCAGAATCAACAGGGTCCTCTTGTACCGGCTCTGGCAGCCTCCCACCACCTCTGCACTGACACTGCGTTCACGCTGGGGAGGCACTAAGGAGCGTACTTGCACAGTGCTGTCCCCATGACCCCATTCTCCACCCCTGGGCCGGCGGAGGCTGGAGTCTGCACCCTCCCCATGAGGCTGGGGAGTCCCTGGGTTTGTGCTTGGTGGCTGACAAGAGTTGGCTTGCACAAGTGAACCCTGTTGTGCATTTGGGGGCCACTCTGCCTGCCTTCCTGGTGGGCTCCGTGCAGCCTCGGGATTGCTCTTCTGGAGCTGGGCCCCATTCAGTGACCTTTCTGGGGACTGGGGACCAGTAACACTGGAGGGAGCTGAGGGGGTGGATGATGCCTGCTCCTTCCCCATGCTTGGCTTTCCCGGCCCCTCTGGTGCTGTTGGAGGTGGAGAGTGGGTGACTAGACTCTCCCTTGGGTGCTTGGGGGAAGGATGGGGCTGGAGGTTGGGAGTGGGAGAACGCCAAGAGGGGGAGGACTGTGTGTGCATGGTGTATGTTTGGGTCTATTTTTAAGTACCATATCTGTGGGATGTAGAATACATAGGATTGTTTTCTTTTATTTATGAATACTTATTATGCAATATTTGATACATAAAAAATTTATGTTGGAGTCCTTGGTTGGTGAACACAGTAAAGTGCTGGACTACTAAGCAAAAGGTTGGTGGTTCAAACCCACCCAGAGGCACCTCGGAAGAAAGGCCTGGTGATCTGCTTCCTAAAGGTTGTAGCCTTGAAAACCCTATGGAGCAGTTCTACCCTGCACACGTGAATTGGAATCGACTCAACAGCAGCAGCTGGCTGGGTTTTTCGGTTTATGTTATAAAGTACAAGAATATCGTGTCTCCCAGGATTCTGCCGTCCAACCTAAGAATATGAGAAGATACCAGGATCCTTTGCATACCTGGGCTCTCCTTCCCTCACCATCCCTCCACCTTCCCCCCTCAGGAAACTCCAGTTTTGTGTTTATCATTCCTTCTTTTTTTAAAAAAATAATTTTATTCCATCTTCATGTATCCATAAACAATACATGGTTAGGTCTGTTTTGATTTTGTGTTTTATACAAATGGTTTCCTGCTGCTTCTGCAATTTGCTTTTTTCCGTTAATATTACGATTCAGAGATTCGCCCACGTTGTTGCAGGTAGCTATATTTCATTTCACTGCTACTTAATATTCCATTGTGTGAATATTTACCATACTTATTTGTTAATTTTTCCAGTCTGTGGACATTTTTTTCCTGTTTTTAAAAATTTTTTTGAACTATTTTGTAGTGGCCATTCTTGCACATGTCACGTGATGTACGGTGTACGAGGTTATCTCGGGTGTAGACTCAGATGTGTGATTGCTGGGTCTTAGGGGGTGAAAATCCAGCTTTACAGCCTGATGCCAAATTGGTTTCCAAAGTGATCGTGCCATTTCACGTCCCTACCAGTGTACAGCTTCCCACTGGGCCACATTCTCACCCATACTTAGCGTTATCAGACTTCTTCCCTGGGAGTGTAAAAGGATAACGGAGTCCCTGGGGGGTGTGAAGGGTCAGCGTGCTTGGCTGCTAACCAAAAGCTTAGGGGTTTGAGTCCATCCAGATATACCTCGAAAGAAAGGCCTGGTGATTTACTTCCCAAAATTCAGCCATTGAAAACCCTGTGGAGCACAGCTCTACTCTGACACCACGGGGTCGCCATGAGTCAGAGTCAACTTGACAGCAGCCAGTGCTGTGTGAAAATGGTAGCACGAAAATATCTTGTTATGGTCTTAACTTGCATTTCCCGGATAACAGCTGAGGCTGAGTGTCCAGTCAGATGTTTATTTGCTGTTCTTTCCTCTTCATGAGATGCCCGTTCATGTCCTTGGCCCACTTTCTGTTGGGTTTTCATCTTCTCCTTATTGAGCCGTACAAGTCCTTCATGTATTATGGACTTAGACGTGTTAAAAAAAAAATCTCGTATCTGTGGCTTGTCTTTTTAGTTTCTTTATGGAGATTTTGATGAACAGCAGTTCTTAATTTTACTGTAATCAAAGTTAGCCATTTTTTTTCTTTACGGTTAGGGATTTTGTGCTTGGTGGATTTCCATTCCTCCTTTTCATTGGTGTTTTGATGAGATTGTTCTAACCTCACTCCAGAGTTGTTTGCATGCCAACTGAGTCTTCTTCATCAGCCTCATGAACGTATTCTCAGGCGGTGTCTTAGTCATCCAGTGCTGCTGTAACAGACATACCACAAGTGGGTGGCTTTAACAAACAGAAATTTGTTCTCTCACAGTCTAGGAGGCTAAAAGTCCAAATTCAGGGTGCCAGCTCCCGGGGAAGGCTTTCTATCTCTGCTGGCTCTGGGGAAAGGTCCTTGTCATCAACCTTCCCCTGGTCTAGGAGCTCTCACTGCAGGGACCCCGGGTCCAAAGGACGCACTTCTCTCCTGGTTCTTCATTCTTGGTGACGTGAGTTCCCTCTCGTCTCTGCTCGCTTCTCTTATATTTCAAAAGAGATTGACTCAAGATACAACCTAATCCTGTAGATTGAATCCTGCCTCATTAACATAACTGCCTCTAATCCTGCCTCATTAATGTCATAGAGATAGGATTTACAACACATAGGAAAATCACATCAGATGACAAAATGGTGGACAACCATGCAGTACTGGGAATCGTGGCCTAGCCAAGTTGAGAGCATGTTTTTGGGGACACAGTTCAATCCATGACAGGCAGTTTTCAGGCTAAAATGTGGTTCCTCTCCAGGACCCACCCATCATGTTGATGGTCTGTTGGTTCTAGAAGTCTCTCTGATCTGCATTTCTTCCTGGTCACTGATGCTGATCTTCTGTAGCACAGGACTGTTGGAGAGAGAGATGCTGATGGGGGCAGAGACACTGACAACCTTAGGTCACGCGGGCCTGGGGACCACCAGGCTTGAGCAGCTCCTTGTCCTCTGCAGTTCTTTCCTGTGACCCTGAGTTGGCCAGTAACTCAGGTAGAACTTCCTGTGACCCCAATCAGAGGGTGGTACCACGACCAGCTGTGTTGAGTGGGTGGAGAAGGAGATTGTGATGTGAGGCCACTAAAAACCTAGTGGTTTTCATTCCCATGGCCTGTTGTTGTTTTTAGCTGCTCCTGACTCACGGCGACCCCATGCACAGTGGGATTAAACCATTGTGATCCATAGGGTTTTCACTGGCTGATTTTTGGAAGTAGATTGCCAGGCGTTTCTTCCTAGTCCGTCTTAGTCTAGAGAAGCTCTGCTGAAACCTGGTCAGCATCCAAGCAACACACAAGCCTCTCCAATGACAGACAGGTGGTGGCTGCGTATGAACTGTATTGGTCAGGAATCAAACCTGAGTCTCCTGCATGGAAGGCAGAAGTTCTACCACTGAACCACCACTCCCCCCATGGGCTGCTATGGACTCTGAAATTCAAACCACTGTCTGAGTTATTCTTTTAGTTTTAATGCACGTGTCTCCAGGAAGTCCAGTAAAGATGAAGTGTCTCCAGAGAAATAGACCAGGGGATAGGTCCACTTGGCAGTGGAGGAAGGTGATGGGGCTAATAAGGGGCTGAACACTGGAGGCAGCGTTGGGAAGCACAGCTCCAGGTGGGAAGTGATGGGTTCTGGGGCAGGACTAGGTGCCCGCCTTGTAATAGCACCTTGTCCCATCTGGCTGAATATCATGGAGGTGGCACTGGGTTGGGAGCTGTCCATGAGTGCAGGTGCTGAAACCACCGCCAGGTCCCCAGCACTGGGAGAGGGAGCCAGCTTGTCCATCCTTCACTCGCCTCTCCCTGGCTGACATTTGTTGCACTGCGCAGGCCTTCAGAGCAAGTGTTGCCTGCTCGCCACCCGCCAGCGCACACCGTGGCTCCCTGCGCTGCGTCCACCCCCGGCTCGCTCTGAGCAGAGAGCTCGGGAGATGTAGCAACACTGTCTTTGGAGCAGAACTCTGTAGAGGCAGCCAACGTTTTCAGATAATGAGAAGAGGCGATCTTAATCTCCAAGTCTTCTGCAGGAAGGGTGGGCCTTCAGAAGGTCAGATGGGGCGAGACAGGGAGGAGGAAAGAAAGGTGCCCAGAGGTGGGAAGCCGAAGAGGTCTTGGGCAACTTGTGGATGGCACAGCCAGAGGCTGAAGCTAACTGCAGGTCCCAGGCAGATCCCCAGAGCAGCAAGAGTCACACAGAAGGTACAGTGGAAGGACTCCTGGGACTGAGGGCTGTCGAGACCCCACATCTCTAGCTCTGCCACACACAAAGCCCCCAGAGGGTGGACTGTCCTTCTGTCAGGATCACTGACCCCTCGCCCACCTCAAGGCTAGATGGAGTCATGTTTATCAAACAAGACCCAGCTTGGTTCCTCCCCTCGGACCACACATCCCTGGGGCTAGCAAGGTGGGAACTTACTCCTTTACTGTCCCCGAAGGTGTGGGAGGGCACGTCACCTTCATGACAGCCGGTGCAGACTTGGGGAGTCAGCCTTCTGTATGAGGAACAGGCATTTGACATGCCTTCTCCAGAGGCAGGAATGTAACCCCATTGTTCTGCTTCCAGCCCTCGCTGGGCTTTCTCTTCTCCCGCTGCCTTCACCCTGAGCCCTTGACTGCCCACTTCCTCCTCCTTTGGCCCTGCCTCTGGGCCTGGCGCTGAGTCTGGGCCAGCACAGTGAAGATGGGGTCACTG